AAAATAAAACAAATGGGTAAGTTCAATGTAAACAAAAAAAAAAAAGGTATATATATATATCTAAACACAAACAGCTCTCATTTTCTTGAGGGTGTGGAAAAGGGAAAGTTGATGGATAGGTCATGTTTTTAGATGAAAAGGAAATGGAGAAAATTGAAAGTGAGAGTAATGGAATTAATGGGATGGATGGATTTTTGATAGCAAAATCAATGAGAGGAAATTAATTGAGGGTGTTCAGTTTTCTCTGTTCTTCTTCTTAATCATTTGTCAAAGTCAAACTAAACCCCAAATATATAAAACTTTGACCAACCATGTTACCTTTTTCCCTTTGTTACCCCCACCAATTTGGTAATTGTTGGAAAATTATTGGCCACATTCTTTGACTTTTCAACTCATCCCTACAAATCCAATTCATTTAAATATATGGTCTTTTTTTTTTTAGTCAAGCAAAATTATCCATGACTTAACCAGATGGGTTATGTTCATATCAGTCAAGCTCGTTTTTAACCTTATTTTATTTAGAGCTTAATCTACTTCGATTATTATGGACCTCTCCAACGAATTTTTTTTTACATAAATCTTGTTTAGGTTCGTGAACTTTAAAGTATATTTTATTTCTTGTTTCTGAATTTTCGGCAGGTCTATTCTAATCTCTAGACTAAAAAATTAATAATAATAATTAATAAGTTAATAAATAGATAAAGTTCTCATTCTTGGTTGTTGTTCTACAACATAATATTCATTTACTTAATACCCACAAATATTCATTTACTTAATACCCACTCTATGATCTAGGAACTAAAATAGTTAGCTAACATTGTCAAAATAGATATTTTAAAAGTTCGAATACTAAATTTGAGATTTAAATCAATTTTAATTGATATGTTTTTATATTTTTTATAAATAAAATTATAAAAAAGGTTTCCCAACTCTATAATTTTATATATAAATCTAAACCGGTAAAATTCAACTTCTATAGTGTATTATAACTCTTACCATTATAGATTATTTTCTTATGAATATGATAAAAAAGGGGTTCCCCCGAAATATCATAAAAATGTCTCAAATAAAATGTCCCTAAATATTGCAAATATCTAAAAATGTTTTTATTTTGCAAGGAAATAATGAAATAAAGATGATTAAACATCGGATAAATGGATATTCCTTCAACCTGACTTGTAAATTATAATTATTTTTTTTCAAACAGTAAATTATAATTGGATAGCTAAACCCAAAAATAGACTTAGATAAATAATAGAATAATTCAGGTTTTTTTTTTTTAGCAATGAATAATTTAG